CCGCTATTTGCAAAGTGGCTACTTTTGCATCAGACACCCTGTATGTATAATCTTGTAAAAGAAAATTCTTTGGCGTATCTCGCATTCATAATCTCTGAAGGGTCAATTCAGCATAATTATCTAATGAAAATATTACAGTATCAATATTTAATATTAAAACTTATATATGATATTAATATTTATATATATATAGATGGCGTTTTAATATTAATTAAAATTCGTTACTAGAGAATAATTAAAGAGCAATTAAACACAGATTAATCAAATGGATAGTAATTAAATCGGATCAAATGTAAAGTATCAATAGTTATTCCAATAATCATAATACACATCTTACTTTTATATGACAAAGGATCGCGTTAATAATTGCTATTCTGTTATACAACTTTCACTAAGTATTCTATTCCACATTTCGTTGCGCATAAATTTGTTAATTATATCTGCATTATCGCAGAATAAAAGGAATTTGCATAAACATGTCTACTTCATGAGAATAGATTCGACAAAAAAAAATTACGAAAAGCTGCGTTAAAATGTATAAAGTTTATGATGTAATAATACTTCTGTGAAGTACATCGTCGCATTTTTATCATGATTTTCCGCGCTCAGTTAGCATACGAGCGAGTTTCCCTATTTGCTCGGATTTAATACCCAAGTATAATGTGATAATTAGCTTCTCCACCGCGATTTTATCTTCATGCCCTAATTTTCGGGTTTTATTCCGCATAACAATTTCAAGTTCTCCCGAAAATGTATTCGCGGCAAGTTTAAGGTATTATTAGATCAGCCCGTATCTTTAGAACAGATCTAGATGTTCGGCAACGACTACTTTCGTGATTTGCCGCGATTAAAATTGCGCGGTTAAAAAAACTGACATAGGCCCCGCATTTCTAGTCCTCTCTCAATTCCCGTTTCAAGAGTGTATCAGGCGAGATGCTCGGATTGGAGTTTTATGTCTTGAGATACGGAAGGTTCAATGGTTACATTTTGATTAAAGATCAACGAAACTGTGTTCAGCTGAAAAGGGGATCGATTACTCGCCTGAAATTCGTCTTGAGAGTCAAAACATCGATTAATGTGGCGACACGCAATTTGTCCCGACTCAAACCTTAAATGATACGAAATCCAAAAACTATTCTCTAAAACTTCCTTTGAGAATCCCCATTGAATCACAATGAGATTACAAACAAATACGAAATTGAGCCTCAAGATTCAGCGATTGAACAGTATCATGTCTCAAGACTGGTTTTACCTGAGTGTTTTTAGCAGAATCACGACTATAAATACGGGCCACGGTCTTGTAAATCGCGTGAGAGCGAAGCTGTAACTTTCCACGCTATTAAAAGAAAGTATTTTACAAATAATAATGAGAAAAAGGCTCCAAAGGACAAAAAGAATTAATAATAATAATTAAAATAATACAATAGGTGCAATAGAAGCCGTCACCGGATCGAAGGTGATAAATTGTAAAAAAATAATAGGATCTAATATACAAGGTGAGTCGTAAAGGCTGTTCCAACCTTTTACCATAAGAGGTGGTGAACAACCGACCGCAACTGTAGCCAATTCGGAAAAAAATAGACTAAATCTCGTTCTACATGTCTCAATCATGTAATATCTAATTACATTTCTCGAGAAATAATTAGATATTACATGATTGAGACATGTAGAACGAGATTTTATCAATTTTTTCCCGAGTTGGCTACAGTTGCGATCGGTAATTCACCACCTCTTATGGTAAAAGGTTGGGACAGCCTTACGACTCACCCTGTATATTAGAGGGATGGCAACACAATCATACAATAGTATTCAACGTTTCGACCACGAAAATGTTTTACGGCTGCGGTCGGCCGTGCCTCGCGCTACGCGTTCTTTAATTCCTCGAATTTCCTTTATCGCGCGCCCACGGTCACTACCGCAAATTTATTGTGCATTTATGCAACGGCGAGCGAACGTTAAAATCCTAAAAGTCCCGGATGCCATTTAAATATCGGAGATGGGGCGCTTTCATACGCGCGTGTGGAGAATGTGACCTCGCAATTTTGCGAGGGGATTTAGTATTATGCGGGAGGTTGCGTTACAAAATTCGTCTCGGCTACCGCCCGCCGCCGCTACGTCACCGAGAGCGGCACAGCAACTTTAATTACTTATTTAAAAATGAGACGCGACAGCTGTATTTAACGAAGCCTTCTGGCGTTCGGCGAGAAATGCGCGGGGCCGTCGAGTGGAATAGCCGCGCGGCTACGCCGACGTTCCGCTCTCTCGCGAAGGGGGTTCATGAAATATTAGCGCGTCGGTATTCGCTGCACACGCCGCTCAATGCGTCGTAAAATAAAAAGAGAGAGAGGAAAAAAAAACAGCGCCGGGGCGCAGTGGACGGACGCGGGAAAACAGTGTTGATTTATTACCGTGCAATCGCGCGTTAATTATGCAAACCAGCGCCGACTTATTCGACCGAGCGGAGAATAATTATTTATGTGATCTCGTGACGAACGAACGTTGAATATCGTGTGTTACGGGCGCGCGGAGAAAAATGGGATCCGACGTGTGTATCGGTGAAACGACTTCGATTCGCGCTTGTGTTCTCGCCGCGCGCATTGTTAAGTCTCTCCTAGTCGTCGCGAGGGAAATGCAGTGACGCGTCACGTGTACGATGAAACGCGAAATTATGAACTCGCGACGGGAGTCGCGCGTTTTCAAATGTAAGCGTATCGCGCTGGGCGTATCGGGAATCACTCCCTCCCTTCCCCAATTGATTAACTATGCCGATAGTACTGACGTCAAGTGATAAAAAATTCTGTGTCCCGTCGGAAGAGTTGCGGTCGAGTGCAACTAAGTAGAGATAAATCGAAAGCGCATGCATTATTCATGAGCTACGGTACCTGGACGATCTTCGTCATTTCCTGCATATCGATAACGCCGTTGCCGTCAACGTCGTACATACGGAACGCCCATTTCAGTTTTTCTTCCGGCGTGCCGCTGGACGTTACGTCGATCGCCAGTAGGAATTCCTGCAACAAAAGCCGACGGTAACCCCGGCATCAGTGACGTCCTCGCAGCTGTGCGATATCGAAACTTTTATTTCCTCGCTACAAAGGGATATCTCCCTTTTGTGCGAGACGAAAATCTATTTTCCAAAGTATTTATAATACGCGTCGAGGGGAGAGAACCGGCCTCGAAATGCCATAATTCATCCATCTCTACCCCGAAGCCCTGGAAAATATCTCCTCTCCGCTCGAGATACAATGACTCGAGCGGAAATCGGCTGGGATTCGCATTAAGGGGATGCTGGAGTGATTCTGCACCTTTTGCACTTTTTACGTCGAGCACTGTCAGTTCATGAAAACATTTGTGCGAGATATACAAATTGTGCGGCTTTTGCGTACAGACCGACGGTGTTCCACTATTCGGACTAAGGGGCCTATTCTGTAATTAGTCATTATTAAACGATGTTGTTATGATAACGACTCTTTTATGAACGACTGTTTAATGACAATTTGTAAAAAGTTATTCATTACACATGTTGAAGTACAAATGACCATCTTTCCTCAACGACTTTTTTAAGTAGATTAGTACACTGTTAGGGACCTATTCTGTAAGTCTTAAAAATTGCTGTTACGAAACAATTTTCGTTAACAAATGACTTTTCTTTATTCTGTAAGTAATGACTGTTGTTAATTAATGACAAAATGGCGTCAAAATTGTCGTAAACTTAACAACAGCCAGAGGGGTGTTGTTAAATGAGCACAAAGTCATTATAAGATATACAACCTACAATATTGAAACTATGCTGTCATTACGGTACACATGCGAATTGCTTCTTTAATACAATTCGTATTGCCTATACGTGTAGTTTTTTAGCAGCACGTTTTTTCTTCTCTTCCTTATATCCATCCTGTATGAAATACATATTATTTTACTACATGCACACAGGCGCGAACACACACACTCACACACACACACACGCGCACACGCACACACCATGCACGCACACACACATATATGTATACATACGTACGTACGTATATATGTATATACACATATATGTGTATACACTCTCTACATAATAATTACCTTTATATAATATAATTATGTATTGGGTCGGTCAAAAAGTTCGTGCACTTTTTGGCTTTCGTTGTTGTTTTTAAACAGCGCGCGCTTTTCCGCCAGCGCCGCCATATTTGTTGTAAACTATATATATATAGAACAATCTTTCTGCTATTGGTTGGCGTCATCTTCGCCATTCTCTTCGCTCGAAGATGGAGAAGATTTCTGAACATTATCGACATATTATGCTTTATCATTTCCAAGAAGGACTTAACGCTGCACAAACAGCTCATAAAATTTGTGAAGTGTATGGACCTGATGCCCTAAAAAAACGCGTAGTGCAAAAATGGTTTGCGCGCTTCCGTTCAGGAGATTTTTGCTTGAAAGATAAAGCGCGCTCTGGTCGTCCTTCAACAGTGGATTCAAGCCTGATTGCTGCTTTGGTGGACGAAGTGGGGAATACATTATTGAATAAATTTTCCTAAGCGCCCAGAAAACTGACTTCTCATTTTAGGCAAAAAGCGCACGAACTTTTTGACCGACCCAATACTATGTAATATAAAATTATTAAGCAGTTCAATAAATGTATTGTCAATACTGATAATATATAATTTTCATTACACATACTATAGCCTTTCAGTACTGGTAATATAGAAATAAAAACATATTTAGGTTAAAGGGGCCTATTCTGTTTAATCATTATTAAACGATGTTGTTATGATAACGACTCTCTTGTGAACGACTGTTTAATGACAATTTGTAAAAAGCTATTCTGTACACATGTTGTTAAAGTACGAATGACCATCTCTCTGTAACGACTTTTTTTAGTGGATTAGTACAACTGTTTAACCTAGATATGTTTTTATTTCTACATTACCAGTACTGATAGACTATAGTACCTGTAATGAAAATTATATATTTTCAGTATTGACAATACATTATTATATTATATAAAGGTAATTATTATGTAGAGAGAGAATGCATACGCACACATATACATATAATATATGTACGTGCGTGCGTGCGTGTGTGTATGTGTGTGTGAAAATAATATGTATTTTATTCAGGATGGATAATAACAATGAAAAGAAAAAAACGTGCTGCTAAAACTACACGTAGGTAATACGAGTTGTATTTGGAAGAACTTCGCGCAAATAAAGCATTTAGAGAAAATAAGTTTGATGCTACGAAACCTAATATTATTGATGAATCATGGCAGAAACTTTGTAAAAAAACTAATGCTTCTGGGGGACCAGTAAAATCAACCCAAGAGTGGAAAAGGGTAAATTATAATAAACTAGTTTATACTTTGCAACATAATATTAGTAAACTCGACTATCATATAATTTGTAATTTTTATACACGATCACATGTATCACATGTGTACCGTAATAACAGTGTAGTCTTAATATCGTAGGTTATATATCTTATAATGACTTTGCTCATTTAACAACACCTCTCTGGCTGTTGTTAAGTTTACGACAATTTTGACGCCATTTTGTTATTAATTAACTACAGTCATTACTTATAGAATAAGAAAAGTCATTCGTAAGTTTAAAAGTCCAGCAAAAAATCTATTCACTCGAATAAGTTATAGGTTAGGCAACTTACAACTTGTTCGAGCGAATAAATTTTTTGTTAGGCTTCTAAACTTAATTTCAACGATACCATGCTGTTTTCTCATTTAGTCTGAATAGTGGAACACCGTCGGTCTTTACGCAAAAGCCGCACAATCTGCATATTACACAAATGTTTTCATGAATTGACAGGAGCGAAAGGTGCAAAAAGTGCAGAATCATTCCAGCATTCCCTTAAACGCCGAAACATCTTAGCGAACTGAGTCGGTTGAAATGGTAAAATCAGTAAATTGCGCGCTGAATATTTATCGTCTTTAAAACGCAGCTTTTTGTCGGAACAGCAAATCTACATACTTAAATCGATTAAACTCTTCGTGTTAACGAGCAGTCTTTTTAATCACTGTACATAATTTATTGCCAAAGACATGAGCCCAGCGAGGGCTCGAACTTGGACCCCGCAATCCGCGACAGGCGTCTGTACTAATTCGACCACAGAGGTTCTTATTTTAATTCTTAAAGATTCAAAAATCCCCGAGGAATCTAAAAATTGCTTTTTAATATTTGAGACATTGATTAAACAGGATATTTCAAATATCAAAAGCAATTTTTGGATTCCTCAGAGATTTTTGAATGTTTAAGAATTAAAATAAGAATCTCAGTGGTCGAATTAGCAAAGACGCCTGCCACGGATTGTAAAGTCCAAGTTCCAGCCGTCGCTAGGCTGATGTTTTTCGCAATAAATTATTTACAGCGATTAAAAAGAATGCTCGTTTACATGAAAAGTTTAATCGATTAACCGATTTAAGTACGTATTTACTGTTCCAACAAAAAGCTGCGTTTTCAAGACCGATAAATATTCAGCGCGCAATTTACTGAATTGGAAAAAGTATACGAAATTCGCACAAAAGTATTATTTAAGCTACCAAGATTCAATTGAAAATGGCAGTTTTTCTAGTCAGTTATAAAATAAAAGCGTTTTTCTGGGAGCATATTTAAAATAAATTTAATTCGCCTTCGTAAGGGCGGTATTCATAGTCAGATCTTATATTTAAGATCGTCTTAAGATCCCCTTTAGATACTCCCTAGCCAATGCGATGTTCCATACAGCATCCTAAGATAAACTTTAAGACGGTCTTAAATATAAGATCTGACTATGAATACCGGTCTAAGAGCTTCAAAAAGTAAACTGAAAAGAGATGAAAACTTTCATAAAATAGGCACTTTACATTGCATGACATTTTGACTCTCTTTCGAGAAATTTGGCTTCTTCGTATATGTATTTTCGAGAAACAAAACATAAAAACACTAGCGTGAAGAAAATGCCGACATTTAAATATTTAAAAAATTATAATAAAAAATTCTTCGAGTGCTAACAAAGTTCCCTAAGAATTCCCAGATCTTTCTGGTAAAAAATTCAAAAGTAGACATTCTGTTCCAATTTGATAGCACTGCGACGGATTTTGTGCGTTATTATGAAAGATCTTTTTATAAATTTAAAATGATAAAAGCTCGTTCTTCTTGCATATCTCCTTGCATATATCTCGTTAATAACGCTCTCAATATTCCAGAGATGTGTTATCGATCATCATACGCGTCACCGTCTCGAAGTTACGGCTCCTTTTACGAGCGTCATGTCTCCGTCGCGTGTTACCCGGCCGAAATCGCGTAAGCGTAAAAGCCTCGCGATCGTGATACGGCGTCACAATGGCGGTCGCGATCGTGTCGGGCGAATTTGTCGGGGTCGAATCCACGCGGGTATCCTCGCCCCAGGCCGATACCTTTCGAGTACCACCGAGTCGTTAGAGAGCCGTACGTTCCGGCAGAACTGGGTCACCTGCCGCCCGAGGTAGACAAACGAGACGAGGGCTTTATAGGGCGGAGAGAGGGTGGACGGAGGGCGAGCCGGCTCTTTGCTCTTCCTGACCTCTGAAGTGTCACTTCTCGTATTGACCTCAGAGAAAAAGAGAAAGAGAGAGAAAGGAGCAGGCCATTTCCCCTCTGAGACCAGCCTTAGGCTCACACTTATTTTAGATGCAGCTTACCCGCGAAGCTCGCGGAAGAATCCTGTGGAAAAGCTCCGACATTACCGGAGAAATGACGGCCGATACCGGGGAGAGAAAACATGCTTGTGATGCCATTAACTGGCCTTACGGACACCGCGCTCGTGAGAATAAACGAGAGGCGAATGTTTGAGATTGAAGCGAAGTGGTCTTCCTGAGGGGTGAAAGTTTCCCCGGTAGCACTCGCGATCGGTATTCCTCGAGCGGACATTCAAAACAGTTACTTGGAATGCATAGAGCAATTATGCGATTCGACGCCCCGAGAAAATTGCGGATTTGTTAAAAAAAAAAATGTCGAGAGATATTGGCGTGTATTAAAACGTTTCT